AGACCATCAAGGAACTCTTTGAGCATGCCTTTGACCTCGGTCGTCATGGAGGTTTTCAATGTGTCCAAAGCCACATTGAATTCCTCACGTGAGACCGGGGATCCCCCATCGGTCGTAAACGAAGAAGGATTCACACCGGGGCGCTCCTCCTCACTGTATATGGTGTCAACCATACTCTTAGGACGGTAAAGCCCTTAATAAAGAGACGAGGCTCTGATACCAATTGAAAGGATCGATATAGTTTACTAGAGGGGGGTGAATAGACAACTAACAATTTTTAGCTTTTCTTTGCCAAATTAAACTTTGCATCAAAGTAGGTTGTCTAGATATGTAACTAGTTGAGCAACCTATATGATGCAACAACAATAACCACACAAGCAATCAAGGGATATAACACAATAGCTTGCACAAGTAAAGGTGAGAGATAACCAAAAGTGAACCGATGGAGACGAGGATGTGTTACTGAAGTTCCTTCCTTTTGAGGGGAAGTACGTCTCTGTTGGAGTGGTGTGGAGGCACAATGCTCCCCAAGAATCCACTAGGGCCACCATATTCTCCTCACGCCCTCACACAATGCGAGATGTCGTGATTCCACTATTGGTGCCCTTGGAGGCGGCGACTGAACCTTTACAAACGAGGTTGGGGCAATCTCCACAACTGAATTGGAGGCTCCCAACGACACCACAAAGCTCCACCACAATGGACTATGCCTCCGCGGTGACCTAAATCGTCTAGGGTGCTCAAACACCCAAGATTAACAAGATCCGCAAGGGATTAGTGGAGGGAATCAAATTTCTCTTGGTGGAAGTGTAGATCGAGGCCTTCTCAACCAATCCCTAGAGAATCAACAAGTTTGATTGGCTAGGGAGAGAGATCGGGCGAAAATGGATCTTAGAGCATGAATGGAGCTTAGAGATGGAAGAGGTAGTCAACTCATAGAAGAAGACACCCCTTTTATAGTCAAGGGACAAATCCAACCGTTATCCACTTAACTAGCCCGCAACATGCGGTACTACCGCACCAGCCGAGCGGTACTACCGCAAGGCGTCGCGGTACTACCGTGAGGGGGTGCGATACTACCGCACCCACGACAGACACCAGAGGAGGCCCTTTTGCATTGACGCTGCGAGCGGTAGAACCGCCGGAGCGGTACTACCATGCGCCCTTATGGTACTACCGCAAGGCAGGGCTTGACTGGGCTGGGAAGGCACGGATGAATAAAATTACATCCGTGTCTACTTCCGCTGAGGTTAGATCAGTGCAAAAGTCCGACATGGTACTACCGCATAGGGCATGGATGTAAAAAATTACATTTGCCCCTACTTCCGTGCGAGAGCAGTACTGGGCCAGAGGTCACGGTACTACTGCGACCGCGGAGAGGTACTACCGCAAGGAGGTGCAGTACTACCGCGTCCCCGCACGGTACTACCGTGAGCATCTGCGGTACTACCGCTCCCTTGAGCAGTAGTGCCATAGGCCACATCACACTACCACTTGGAGTCGTTCGTTTTGCAAAGACACGGATAACAGATCGGAGCTCCAAAGAGGCAAGGGGAAAGGAGGTGTAAAGGAACAGATGTGTATGTGATATTCCACCCCTAACTTTTGAAACACGGACCCCCTCTTAATAGTATGGCTTGCCTACGACTCAAATCCACCAAAAGGAATAATAGAAAAACGTCGTCTTCACTAGGCTTCGAGGGGCATCGAATCGTCTTGTGCCTAAACATGAGATATTTGAAATGCTCAACGCACACGATTAGTCAAAACCACATAGGGTGAAATATGCCCTTACACCATGTAATCAAGTTAGTTTTGTTAGGGTTTGATCCCTAGTATCCATTATGTTCTAAGATTGATGTTGCTATGACTTTGCCATGCTTAATACTTGTCACTAGGGCCCGAGTGCCATGATTTCAGATCTGAACCTATTATGTTTTCATGAATATATGTGAGTTCTTGATCCTATCTTGCAAGTCAATAGTCACCTACTATGTGTTATGATCCGGCAACCCCGAAGTGACAATAATCGGGACCACTCCGGTGATGACCGTAGTTTGAGGAGTTCATGTATTCACTAAGTGCTAATGTTTTGGCCCGGTACTCTATTAAAAGGAGGCCTTAATATCCCTTAGTTTCCAACAGGACCCCGCTGCCACGAGAGGGTAGGACAAAAGATGTCATGCAAGTTCTTTTCCATAAGCACGTATGACTATATTCGGAATACATGCCTACATTACATTGATAAACTGGAGCTAGTTCTGTGTCACCCTATGTTATAACTGTTGCATGAGGAATTGCATCTGACATAATTATCCATCATTGATCCATTGCCTACGAGCTTTTCACATATTGATCTTTACTTAGTTACTTCTCCGTTGTCACTGTTACAATTACTACAAAACCGCTACTATTACTTTTGCCACTGTTACCGTCACCTCCATACTACTTTGCTACTAAATATTTTGCTGCAGATATTAAGTCTTTTAGGTGTGGTTAAATTGACAACTCAGCTGCTAATACTTGAGAATACTCTTTGGCTCCCCTTGTGTCGAATTAATAAATTTGGGTTGAATACTCTATCCTCGAAAACTCTTGCGATCCCCTATACTTGTGGGTTATCACTCCTCTCTCTCTCTCCTCTTTTCCTCACAGGCCCACCATGTGCATGGCCTCTCTCCTGCAGCTCCAGGCCACGCCGGGAACCCGTCGCCCTCGTTCGTGTCGTCGTAGCCGAAGGCCACGCCGGGGAGCTCCGTCTTGGCCAGCGTGAAGGACTCGGCAGCCAGGAAGCCCTGCGTGGACGAGGAGTGCGGCCGGCGATGTTGTGGGCGGGCACTAGCGGCGAGGCCTGCCACGGGCGGCCCCGGCACCAGGCGCACCGGCCCCGAGCGTGGCGACCACAGACGACCCCAAGCGCGTAGGCCACGGACGGCCCTGGCACCGGGCGCGCCGGCCACGGGGGGCCCCGACACCGGGCGTGGCGGCCACGTGCGGCCCCGGCCACGAGCCACACACGACTCGCGGCGGCAAGCGTGAGCCGGGGCGAGTGCGGCGGCCAGGGCGGGAGGCCGGGCGGCGCGTGGGGCGGCCGGGCGGCAGCACGCTCTTTGCTTCCTCCCCACCTCCTCGCCGCCAGGACGACCTTCAGGATGCTGCCCAGGAGGGAGCCAGAAAAGAAGCAGCCGTCCGACACCTGGTCGCCGTTCTCGGCGAGCGCGAGGCTCTCGCTCGCGCTCCCGCAGCTCCAGGAGGCGACCGGCGAGGGCGGCTTCGGTGGGCGGACGGGCGCGCTGTGGCTGTGAAGCGGCTGGCGGCAAGGGTGGACTCGATGCCCAACGGTATGTGCACGGGGGGCTGAGCCGGGGGCTTGGCGAGGGTGGCACGGCTCTGGGTGCGCGTGAAGCGCTTGGTGAGGTCCTGCGAGATTTGCTTGGCGCGGGACACCCCGGCCTTGAGCTCCTGCGAGAACTGCAGCAGCTGGTCCGACGAGGTCCGTCGGATCGCCGACGGCCGTGAAGGCCCCGCCCTGGGCGGCGGCGGCGGCTCCGGGCTCCACCCCATCACCGACGGCGAGGCCCCCGACGAGCCGGGGACCGAGGCCGCAGTGGCCGGCTCAATGCTGCGCACCACAATGGTGTCGTCCTCCTGCAGGTCGAGCGTGACCTCGACGAGCTCCTCGCCGTCGTTGACCCGGCCGTCTCGTTGCTGCCTGCTATGCCTCCTCGCTGGGCCCGCGCGCCCTCGTCATGCCTCCTGGCCGCCCGCGCTCGCCGACCAGGTCGCGATGGTGCCGGCTGGGTAGGAGGACGATTGGAATTTTTCCTCCCAGTGCAAATATTCCGCCGGGGCAACCCCAGGAGGCCGAAAAAACGCCTCTTGAGGGGCACAACGGCTGGAGATGCTCTTAGGACGTCGATGTCGTGAGTGAACAATATCCGGGAGAGCAGATCGCTTTGGGCGTAAGCCTCTAGCGTGGGAAATGGGGTGCCCGGACACGCTATTAACAAGCAAATGTGTCGATGTCGTGGAGAGGAGGATGGAGATCCACTCGCGTCAGCGAGGGCCAAACCAAGGTGGCTTAGAATATGAAGAAGGAACAACCATGAGACTGAGTTGAACGCTCGGGCAATGTCAATCTTGAGCATCATGCGTGAGACCTTCAGGTTGTGAATGAGACGCGCTGTGTGCTTCACGAGCTAAAAGTTGTCATGGATGATGCGTCCGGCGGTGAACACGCTCTGGTTCGCGGACACCGTGTCACCAAGCCGAGAGGCAAGCCGAAGGGAGAGGGCTTTGAAAAAAAAAAAAGCTTCGCGCCGAAATGGATGGGCTGATCGGACGGTAGTCAAACAAAGATTCAGCATCCGCACTCTTGGGCAGCAATTGAACGCTCAACCTGATGAGGCACTGCAGGGCAGGACCTTTTTCTGTTCCAAAACAAAACTGAAAACTGGGGGCATTTTATCAGATGTCAAACGGACGGGAAGTAACCAAATGCGCATCATTTCTGTATCAAAATTCAGAAGGAGGGGGACGGGATGGCGAGACGCTGGCTGACAAGCGACAGTGGAATTGGGACGGTTGATACGTTAAATAAGTGACAGGCAGGGGACATGCGTATCTGTTTTCCCGTCGGTCATAGCGAGAGGCATGTTAATGAACCGGGCGATAAATCAAAAGAGGAAACCAGAACACATGGAGAAGCTTGCCAACGGCAGAAAACTACAGCCATCAAAGCCCAGCAGATGGAGGCTGCAGATCGAGCGGAATGCGCTCTAGCAGCCTCCATATAGCTCACGCGCTGGGTGCCTGACGAACAGATCAGGCGATCCCAGCATAGCCAGAAGAATTGCCATTACAAACTACTAGTAACATAGTACTAGTAGATCAGAACCACTTACACCCAAACTAACTTGACGGATCAATTTAATTCTTGATCGTATATTTAGGTCTTTCCTTGGAAAAAGAGACAGAAATTACATCATTACAGACACTATCTACGAAACATGACGAATTGACGACGCTGGCTCTAGCACACTGAGCAGGTTCGCTTCTTCTGAGAATAAAACGCAAACGAACATAATTTAGAACATTGTTACAGATGAATCCATCACACAGTTAAATGATCCATCCTGTGCTACTGTAGTATGCGAGCGTCTCGGGAGCTAGTCGACGACGGGCAACATACCGTCGACGTCGACGTCGTCGGCGGCGAGGCCCTTGTCGTGGCGCTCGACGCACTGGAGTATGTACTTGAAGGCCTCGGTCTCGCAGGGGATGGCCAGCGCGCCCTCGTGCCGGAACCCGAACTCCTCCTCGGCCTTCTCCAGGAGGAGCCGGAAGACGGGGTGCCCCAGATAGCTGGTCGGGATCACGAACCGCCGCTGCTCCGGCCCCACGTACACCGGGCAGTACCCCCTGGGCACGTCCGGCGCCGCCTCCGGGCTGTGGCAGCCCTCGTCGTCCGAGTCCACCGTCACCGTCCTCGTCAGCCGCCGCAGCACGAACGGCGGGATCGACGGCGGCGCACCTCCCGCTCCCGCCCCCGCCCCCGCCGCCGGCGCGTGCGTCTCCTCCTCCTCCTCGCCGTCGTCGGCGTCGCCCCTGGCACCGAGCGCCCACTTGTGCAGCAGCTCCCGCAGGCGCACGATCGTCGTCGTGGCCGCCTTCGCGCCGTCGTCGCCCATCACGTACGTTCCTACTTATTACACACACACGGCACCGTACACCGCTAGTGAGGGACTTCTTGGATCTTGAGAGGCTGAGAATGGATGCTGGCCGGGAGCTGGAAGAATAAACGAGGGGGTGGCATGCACCGATTATATAATCAGGTCGCAGCCCTACCGCCGGACGCGCAGGAGGTAACATGGCGCCATGGCGGCATCCAGAGAGAGAAGAAAAATAAAAGATTCCATTCCCGATTATTCTCATTGAGTTAACTTTGATCCAGCCATTAGGCCAGCTTGCTCAGACTTCTTTGGTGGCAAAGGCAGGGGAAGCTTGTGTTGGGCTTGCAAGCTAAGCAGGAATATTAAATTAGCTTAGATGGTGTGCCAAGTAAACCAAGTAGTGAGGAAATGGGATTTTTGGTTCTAGTTTTGTACGCTACATACTCTTTTCTTCTGCATCGTGCGCAGCAAATGCGCGCTGGCTAGGTGTAGATATTTTTAAATATCAGGCCTGAATTTCTGAAAGAAAGAAAAAAGTCAACTGCCGGTTACTTGAAGGTCTTGCTTAGCGAAGCGAGGCGTACCGCGCAAGAATACAGTACGGTGTGTTTGATCCATCTATCTATTAGGCCAGCAAGTAGGGCAAATTAACTTCTGAATTTTGGGACTCTACGTTCCCTGATTTTATTTCCTATTCCCTTATAAATGACCTTTCGATTATCTGAGAAATAAAATCTTGATGCTTTCAAAAAAAAAAAAACTTGCATTGGTTTGCCGGCTGAGTATGAATAGCGAAGTAGTACCAAAGTTGGATTATTCCTCCTCCTCAACTCCTTCCCTCCCCCCTCGGTGGCTAGGCCAAACTCTCCCCTCCAGATTTTGCCGGTGAGTCCGTGGATTTGCCTCTCCTCTCCCTGCCACCCCGGCGGTCGATGGCAGGGAGGGGGATCCCGTGCCTGGTTAGTAGTTTAGGTTAGAGTTTTTCAATCCTGGCAGGTGCGGTGCTTGAATAGATGCGACACTTTTTCTTCTTCGAGTTTGTCTTCTAGGCTCCGATCGTCCTCGAGTTCGTCCTTCTGGACTTACTCAAGGGAGCTCCGGCGCAGATTCATGTCGTCTTCTTAGGACGGTGAGGTTAGAGTTTCTCATCGTGTGGCGAGATATGGTGTCAAGTGCTTCAAATCTATTCAAGGGTTCAATGGCAACGACTGCAACTCTAAGGCGATGGTCCTTAGGGGCACATGCACGAAGACTTTTCAGATGCCATCAACAAAATCAAGCCGGCTCCGGTAGGGAAGCAGCGACATCGGCAGCTTGTTCTGGTGCCGGTAGTGGTCATTCGGTGGTCTCAGAATTTCAATGTGATTTTTATTATGTTTGAGGTTTTTCTTGTACTTTCCATGAACTTTGATAATAGAGTTGCATCATTTTCGAAAAAATAATTACTAAGTTGGATTAATTTGTTTATTATGAAAAGGAGGTTTAACCTACCCTCGACCTCTAAATTTGTTTTAACGGGGATTGAACTAGAATTCAAATTCCAATTAATGCACTTTATGCTTTCTTCTGCACTAGGGGTAACAAATGACAGTTGCATTTAGTAATATCGATCCAGTCTATCTATGACTATTAAAGAAAAGGCATAAATCCTGACTTCAAATTAATGAAGCCACCAACCGGCTAGGGGACACAATGGCGTTGCATACGTACACGGATACAGAGTTAATACAAGAAAGAAATGAAAGCGGCTAGAACAAAGATGCTAACTAGAGAAGGACACACACATCTGCCATAGATGAAAGCAACAGGATCAAGTCGAAGATGAACTCCATGCCGAAGAGGATCAGAACGTGCAGAGGTCATAGAGATGCGCCAGACGGAGGGTGAGAGGAACACCGTCACATGGATGAGCACCGTCGCAAAAGCCAGGGCATTCAAGTTAGGGAAGGACGAGAGACCACAATCTCTCCTCACACACTGCCGGAGGGAGACCTTATCTCCACTTGCCCCAACACTGGAGCACCATCACCGGCCAGCAACCCCACAACGTCGCCGGACAGCGAACCACAACAACAGGAGTGGGAAGGCGACCTCAAACCCACCACCATTGACATCGAGCATGAAACACACAACTGCCAGTGCAAACTACTCAAAGCACATCCACAGCCCTCAACCAACCCAAGGCGGCGGCTTCAAGGGAGCGCTGCCGCTGGCCAGCCGCACGTGGCCAGGGTTTTCACCCGGGATAATGGGAAGGCGGACATGGAGGAAAGAGGGAATCGAACGCCCCCTCAAGAGGGAAACACAGAGCCGGAGCCACCGTCAGTGTCGAGGTCAACGGGAGGTCGGCTAGGGCTTTCCCCCTCCTTGGTCTTCCCCCACCATGCCCATAGGCTAGCCCGAACATGGGACCCGGAGACGGTCGGACCTGCAGCCAACGAGGACGGATGAGGCCGAGACGAGGCGCCAAGATCCAGATCTGGCGCAGCCATCGGAGCAGACCACGCGATCGAGAGGGCCAGCCAACACCTGCAGCGGCACCCGCCGGACTAGCTCGACGCCGCCTTCGCACCCAGGGCCGCAGGGCTCCCCAAGTGGCGGCGGGGGAGGGGAAGGAGTGAGGGAGAGGGCCTGCAGGGGCTCACACTATCTATGATTACACGAGAACATGCGTACATTGCATGATTGTTCGATGGATGCCAGGTTAGAGCATGATTACAGATTACGCCGGTGTACCTCTGATCTGTCCCGTGGAGGAAGTAGAGTAATATATACCGGACATGTACATACGCCCATTTTCTTTGTGATCGAGTTCCCCCTTTTCTGTGACCCGACACGCCATAAACAGGTCGCCGGAAAACACTGAGTACTGCGCCCCTGCACAGACATCTCGATCAGGACAATTCTTAAGCGCTAAACAATAACTAATGACTCGGTGGCAGAGCAGTACCTTTGCGTACGTGTCCAAACTTTTCATTCATGCAGTGCATCTGAACAAGGGAAAATGTATTCTACTCCAGATTGTTTAACGAACCACACACCGTTAACACATCCTCACTCTCAGCCTTTAAATACTCAGCTAGCCTCGTGGTTACGTAATAAAAAGGAAACTTACTCCATGTCACTTTGCTTGATCCGATTTATAATTTCTATGTACGACTCACATACGTGGCCTGAGCCTCTGTACGTACTGTACGTTAGCACAGATCAATCATGCTAGACAGTGGATTCTCAGATAAGGCCAGCGGCATCGCTTTTTTTTTTTTAGACAAGCCAGCGGCATCGCTTGGAAAGCCGGTCTCGGCAACGTGCAGGCACATGACCACTGAGTACCGACGGGCCAACTAGCCCAGCCCACCCCACTCCACACGGGAAGCGCACGCAAAAGCGCGCGGCGCGCTTCCGGCTTCTCCAAGGTACCGCACGAGACATCGCCATGTTGCATGCATGCATGCAGTGACGCGCAAAGCTCATCTAACAAATTGGGTACGGGAAAAGCCATGGTGCCATGTGACCTGCACTACACAGGTCGGTGGCAGCTTCTTCTTAACTGCGGGTAGTTAAAATTTTCTCTATTCATGCTTCGTTTGTGGTGAATGGTTCGCCGGTGCGGTTCGGCCGGCCGGGGGCGTTTAGCGTGTTCCCGTGTTTCGTCCGGGATGGGCGCCGGGCCTGTGGCATTAAACCTCTGCTGTTTTTATAGGGCGTGTGTGTGTGTCCCATAGCCATATGATTGCACGGCACAGGGATTGGATTCCTTCCGGCAGCTGGATGCATGATGGTTTTTTGGTTAGTCTGGTGTCGTATCTTGTAGCTAGGCTAGCTTGTTTAAGAGCTAGCCGTGTGGTACGTCGAAAAGAAAACAGATCACCGACGCGCAGAGTGAGCTAAGCTAGTTCGGGTGCTTCCAATTCCATCATGACTTTGAGGGTGGAATAATGTTGCCCCTAGTTTAGTCATGCGCCCATACTGGAGTGGCCGGTACTACATGTGCACAGCTGTAGTACCTACGAAGTTCTTAAAGGATTGCTGCCCTCTTTATAATAAAAAAATAGTCCTTTTTTTTTTGCAAAGCTCTTTCTTTTTAGCAGAAAAAATAATCTTAAGAGTTTTTCCCCCGCAAAGACAACTCTTAAGAATTGAAGGGGTAAAATTTAATATACGTTGGCCCATGAAGAACTTTCTTTCAGGTTCTGGAGACTTTTTCTAGACGCTAAACCGGCCCAAATAAAGCCTGTAGGGGCTATTCATTAGGCCTGGCCCAATATGCACTTCTGAAAGTTCGTGACATTCCGTGTAGTCTGGAGCATCGGGGGAAAAAGTCAGATTTCACTCCAAGAGTCCCCTAGGGCTTGAACCTAGGGTTTCGACGTCTTCCGGCGATCTCCGCCGGAATCCTACCTCTCGACGCAATTCTCGCGGGCGATTGCTCCCTCCCGCCTCGGGAGGGTCGGGGCGATCCTTCGAGGAGTTTTAGACGGAGTCGAGTTTTTCTGGGAGCGCTGGGGTTTTGTCCCTAGATCGGATCGCGGATATGGCGGATAAAAGAGGAACTCAGAGGGAGAAGATGAAGGAGACGGCGGAGGATCTACTCGCTCGTCTCACCTTGCAGGAAGAAGAAGAGGACGACTTTGTCTGGGAGGAAGAACTACCAGATCAGATGGAGCCGGCGAAGTGGCTGGCATGCGAGGGTGCATACGCCAAAAACGTTCAGCCCTAATGCACTGTACGGTGACATGAGAGCGGCCTGGAATCCGGCCAAAACGGTTGTATGGAGGAGGATCAAGGAGAATCTGTTTACGGCACAATTTGGCTGTCTTGCTGATTGGAAAAAAGCCATGCTTGAAGGACCATGGCTATTCCGAGACCAAGCGGTGATTCTAGAGGAATATGATGGTTTCAAAAGCCCAGACTCGTTCAAGCTGGATAAGATTGAAGTATGGGCTCAGATCCACCGCCTGCCGGATAACTTTCTGATTGAGCCGGCTGTGAAGGGGATGGCGTCACGGATTGGTGAG